CAATGGCCAGGGCTGGGCCAGTCCAATGCCAGGAGTTTCTTCCAGGTCTCCCACAGAGGTGGCAGGGGCCCAAACCTTTGTACCATCACCCGCTGTCTTCCTAGGCGCATCGGTAGGGAGCTGGATCTGAAGTGGAGCAGCTGGAACCCGAACCGGTGCCCATGTTGGATGCTGGCACTGCAAACAGTGACTTTACCTGCTATGCCACAGCCCGGCTCCCAGTGTTCCTTTTGTTTGCTTATTTGTTTAAGGTTTATTTATTTATTTGGAAGTTAGAATTACAGAGAAAGAGAGAGAGAGAGAGAGAGAGAGAGAGAGAGAGAGAGATGTCTTCCATCTGCTGATTCACTCCAAATGGCTACAATGGTCAGGGCTGAGCCAGGAGCCTGAAACTCCAACTGGCTCTCCAGCACGGGTAGCAGGAGTCCAAGTACCTGGGTTGCCATCCACTGCTTTCCTGGGTGCACTAGCAGGGAGCTGGATCAGAAGGAGGGCAGCTGGGGCTCGACTCTCTGGAGAGCACTGTTCTAGCCCGGCCCCCGGCCCTGAGTTACGAGGAAACAGGGACTCAGTGGGGCTGAGTGAGCTGTGCAGGATCACAGGATCACAGTTAATCACTTCTTCATTAACCAGCTCCTGCTTCTGGCTTTCTGACCCCTCCTTAACCACAGATCCAGAAAACATCACCCATGCCACCCAAGTCAGCTCAGACCAGGTTGACCTCTGTGTCATCGTCCATCCAGTCTGCACCTGCTCCAAGGTCTGAGGGACCGTTCCTGTTAGGAGGCGCGCCCATCCCCACTGTGGGAGCAGAGACACGAGGAACTTGCCATCCTGATCCCTTGCATCTTGACCCTGTCCAAAAGCACACCCACCCTAGCCTTTACCTGGAAGCCAGCACTGCTGTGAAGCAGCGGGCAGTGCCTAGTATTGGCAGTGATGCCAGGGCCAGCCGGGCCCTGGGCCAGGCAGCTATGCTGTCTTCCCTGATCCAATTCTGCAGCTTGATGTAGAGATTTCTTGGCTGAAAAGCCTCAAAACCTGGTTCTTGGGCACTCTCAGAGGTTCGGTGGGCTTGAAGCAGAGAGTGTTGGCTTCTGTTCCTTGCCAAGAGAATCCTACTGATGAATCTTGACTGGTACAGAGACTGGTGCCAGAGTGGATGCAGGCTACTTCCTCTTAGGAAAATGAGGTGGAGATGGTCCTTGGCTGTCTAATCTTTTGAGGCTGATGGTAGAAGTGGAGCAGCCGGGACTTGAACTGGCACCCATATGGGATGCTGGCGCTGCAGGTGGAGGCTTAGCCTACTGAGCCACAGCGCCGGCCCCAAGAGACTGATGGTAGAGAAAATGCATCTAGTATTAAGCTCTGAGACTTCAGCAGCTGAATGGGTACTGTTTGCAGCCCATTGCTTGCAAACAGTGGCAAAACAGCCCAACAAAAATCACCCATGTCACTTGGAACTGAATAGTGGCTATGGCCAAAGGACATTCAATGGATATGAAGAAAATAAGGACAGTGTGTATGTGTGTGTGTGTGTGTGGGGGGTGATTCCTATCGACCAGTAGTGGATGCTTGGCAGCTCTCTTTGGATTTAGAAGACTATATATATCACATATACATATGCTGCTTTAAGTCATTCTCTTTTTATAAAAATTCTTCTTATTTTCATTTTATTTGAAAGGAAAAACAGACAGAGAGTGCATTTCCATCTCATGGTTCACTCCCCAGATGCCTGGAAGACCTGGGGCTGGACCAGGCCAAATTCAGGAACCAGGAATCCATCTGAGTCTCCTTTGTGGGTGGCAGGGACTCAAGTACTTGAGCCATCACCTGCTGCTTCCCAGTGTGTGAATAAACAGGAAGCTTGGTCAGCAGTGGAGTAGCTGGGACTTGAACCAGGCGCTCTGATATGGGATACTCATACTTTGAACCTGAGACCGGGGGAAAGATGGAATGCCAGGTGACCACATACCTGTATAGCTATCATGAACTGAGTGAGTCCGTTCCAGTTAGGCATAAAGTGCCCAACAGCACTTCCTTCCCCAAGAGGTGCTGGTACATTAAAGAACAGGCCTGAACCGGTCTCCAGGAAGCCCAGAAGTAGTGCACCTCCAGGCGTGTTTAGTTCCATCTTATTGCCACCACTTCCTCAATTCTCAAGCATGGCCTTCGGAGGAACTCTGCAACCGAGACTAAGGAGCACCACGTTTGAGCTTGGCTTACGGAGAGCTGCGCTTCAAAGCAGTCTGGAAGCAAAGTGAGGAAGGCAATCTTCCCCAGGGGACAGAAGTAAGTCGCACTCTCGCGGCTCTCTGTCGTGAGAAGAGTCGATAGAGGTTTGGGAGAGAGACTAGACCTAGAAGTGTCCCGTGCGGATACTCGTCAAACCATCCTCACCACGAAGGAAGCTTTAATAAGCAGGCGGACAAGAAGAGCTGCCTGTGCACGTAGGGCGAGCTCCTTCCCAAGCCAGTGCCTGCCTCTGGAGGTCTTGAACAAAACGGCCCTGCACTGGGACCGAGGTCATCACCAGCTCATCGTGGGCCTCCCTTCTGCAAGACAGACCAGAGCGTTGCCACTAGGGAAGGCCCATTAACAAGGAATCCCTGTAAGAGGCTCTATCCCGTCTATGACCCAGGGCGTCAAGACCGTCGGGCAGAGGCTCATGCAGAATCCGGGTCTGCTTTTTCCACCAGTCATGCTTCTGCTGCCATCATCACCCTACAGGAGTTGACCAAATACCTCCTGCCTCCACCTGGTATCTTACACATCTTTGGACCGGACATCTGCCCAACGAACTGACTTCACACTGAAAGGACTGAGTGTCCTAGGGGCTCTGCTAGCCTCGTTGTGCACCCCCACAACCGGAAGCGGCTGGTTTTATGGAACAGTGGGATGGCTTCTAGAATGTTGGGCTTCTAAGCCAGATGGAAGGCAACAGCTTGAGCACTTAAGATTCCATTTACGCTTGGAACCAGCAATTCTGGATGGGTCCGTATCCTCCTCGTGAGTTCCATTTCTATTTACCTGGACCAGTCAATTTTCCTGTTGCTTGCAACTAAAGACCCTAAGTAATGCACTGTGCCTTCTATTCTAATAGTTGGGGTGGTGATAAATTGGCTTCCTCCACTATTAGTCTGTAAACTTGGAAGGCTGCTCTCATTTCTAATATCCTCGCATTCCTTGTTGCACATAGAACTGTCTTTCACACAATGTAGGATACATGCTGCAAACTTGCAGACTCGGCTCTATCTGAACGGCATGTATTTTGATCCATCTGAAGTTGTTTTTTTTTTTTTTACTTAGTTGCCAACATTTTAAAAAAGATTTATTTATTTGAAAGGCAGAGTTACAGAGAGAAGGAGACACAGGGAAAGGGGGGAAGAGAGAGAGAGAGAGAGAGAGAGAGAGAGAAAGCTGGGGCGGGGGAGGGGAGAGAAAGAAAGATAGCAAGAGATCTTACATTCCATGGTTCACTCCCCAGGTGGCTCTAATGGCCCAGGCTGGGCCAGGCCAAAGCCAGGAGCTTCATCCAGGTCTCCCATGGGAGTGACGGGGGCCCATGTCTGGGCCATGTTCTGCTGCTTTCCCAGGCACATTAGCAGGGAGCTGGAGCGGAAGTGAAGCAGCTGGGATTGGAACCAGCACCGGAGGTATCTTAACCTGCTACAACGTTGCCCCCCCCCAACATTTAAAAGCCATGAGATTTCACAGGAAATCCACATTTCCACACGCTCTTGAAAACATCTGAGGAGCTGGTCATGTTAGGCCTGCATTTCAGTAACCATCCCTTTCAAACAAAACATGGCCACTTTTACTTTTTTTTTTATATATATATATTTATTTTAAAGAGTTAGAGAGAGAGGGAGAAAGAGATCTTCCACCCACTGGTTCACTCCTCAAATGGCTACAACAGCCAGGGCTCCCTCCCATCAGGGACTCCCAGTGGGTGGCAGGACCACCTGCCCATTCCATTTTCTTTCATTACTTACCTGGGCCCAGTGGGTATGTAAATTTGTCACCTTGGGTGCTCAACTGAATCGTACTGAATGCGTTAATTTGGCAATTAGTGCTTCTATATTAATTTTCATTTCGCATGTGTTTCTTCTTCCTAATTGGGTCGAAACAAGCCATTTGGTGGGCAGAATCCTGCTAACTATTATTTCTCGAAATTACTTCTCGGTCGTCACATACTTGAGTAAGTAGCATTACGTGTGTATAACCTCCAGACCAGGCCTTGCCCCGCCGGGATCGAGCGCCCCCGATTTGGGCTGCCTGGGATATCATCACCACGGTCGCTTGCCTGGGCTAAACTGAGACCAGGTGAACTCGTCAGGTAAAGCTATTAAAATCCTCTCGCAATAATAGAAACATACAAGGCGCCGAGGTCGACCGCAGGTGGGCTGCCGCCTTTTCCAAGTTCCGGCCGCGGGGGTCCGGCTCGCAGCGGGACACGGGGACAGGTGCCCGCGAGACCCCGGAGGCCTTCCGGGTGGGGACGCCCCGCCAGGGCCCGGCAGCCCGGGGCGTGGCTCGCGACGGGTCCCCCGGGTCCACTTCAGGACTCTCGGGAGTTGCAGGTTTCTGGGGGGCTCGTTCCCGCCGGCGCCGCGCCCTCAGTGGTGACACTCGGGCACTTTCAGCATCACTTTCCCCACGCGGGCGGGAAGGGGGCGGTATGTCGGGGCTCCCCTGCCCTCCTCTCCGCCACCGGGGAAGGGAGGCGCCGGCGGAGGCCCTGCCGAGGCCGGGCGTCGCGCGGGGGGCTCCCGTCCCCCGGGGCCTTCGGCGGGGGGTACTGGGGAGGGGGCTGCGTGCCCCTCTCTCCTGAGCGCCGCCGGCGCCCGCGGTCCCGGAGCGCCGGGCCCGGCTCCCCGCCCCCGACTCGGCGCTCCCGCGCTCCCTCTAGCGGCCGCCGCGCGGCCTCGCTCCGTCCCAGGCTCGTCGGCGGCGCAGCTCACGTGACCGCGCTCCGGGCCTGCGGCCGCTGTCGGTTCCCCCAGTCACCGAGCGAGAGGGAAGAAACAAGATGGCGGCTGAAGGCGATCCGGAGTGGGGCCCCAGCAATTCGGACTGAGCCTTCTCCCTCCACCCGCTTCCGCCGGCCGGGCCCCTCCCGCCCGGCCCCGCCGGCCTCCCCACCCGGCCCCGGCGCCCCCCACCGCCCCCACCCCGCGCCCGCCCCTCCCCCCTCCGCTTTCCCTTCTCCCCCCCGCGCCTCGGCTCCGACATGAGGGGCCGGCGGGGCAGGCCGCCCAAGCAGCCCGCGGCTCCCGCTGCGGAGCGCTGCGCCCCGGCCCCGCCGCCGCCGCCGCCGCCGCCGCCCACGTCCGGACCCATCGGGGGGCTCCGCTCGCGGCACCGCGGCAGCAGCCGGGGCAGGTGGGCCGCCGCCCAGGCTGAGGTGGCGCCCAAGACGCGGCTGAGCTCGCCCCGGGGGGGCAGCAGTAGCCGGAGGAAGCCGCCGCCGCCGCCGGCCCCCCCCCAGCACCAGCGCCCCGGGCCGGGGGGGGCGAGGAGGCGGGGGCGGCAGGACGGGGGGCGGGGGCGGCGGCGGCCACCTGGCCCGGACCACCCCGGCCCGGAGGGCGGTCAACAAAGTGGTGTACGATGACCACGAGAGCGAGGAGGAGGAGGAGGAGGAGGACATGGTCTCTGAGGAAGAGGAGGAGGAGGAGGAGGACGGCGACGCCGAGGAGACCCAGGATTCGGAGGACGACGAGGAAGATGAGATGGAGGAGGACGACGATGACTCCGATTATCCGGAGGAGATGGAAGACGACGACGACGACGCCAGTTACTGCACGGAGAGCAGCTTCAGGAGCCATAGCACCTACAGCAGCACTCCAGGTACCCACCCAGCCCGGTGGCTGCAGGCTGCTTCCCCGCCGCCTCCCCCTCCCCCTGCTCACTCCCTCTCGAGTGCCGGGCATCCTGCTCCGGCCTCCCCCCACCCGCCTCCCCCCCCTCGGACGGAGGGGAAATGCGACGGCACAGCAAGTGGCAAAAAAACTAGATTTACAAGAGGAAAGAGGCGCATTGTTCAAAATGGAGATTGCATTGTTGCAGTTTGCAGGCCACACGCTCGCTCGCCCTCTTTCTCTCCCCCCCAGCCCCCTCTTTTTCCTCTTCAGAATTTGTGCCAGTGCAGTGGCTCCACCGGGCAGGATCGAAACTTTGGCACTCGCCTATCCATTGCATTCATTTTTCTCCCCTTGTTTTGGTGTGGTTTTTTTTTTTTTTTTTGGAATGAAAGAAGCCTCTTGTTTTGCAAAAACCTCTTTGCATTTCTAATGTGGGCTCTTTGAGATTTTTATTATGTATCCCTTCCTTAAAAGGGAATTAAGGATTGGGACAGATTGTGGCACACAAACACGCACAAAACACGCTTCTCTTCGCACGCCTAGCTGGGCGGCTTACAAAATCGCGTGAAAGAGATGGGTCGGTGGACTGAGTCGGGAAGCCTTATCTGGTCCCGTGTTTGTTTTTATGCTTGGAGGGCTAATGGGCCGGTGCAACAGTTGCTAGTCAATTGCTGATTAAAAAGCAGTGCAGAAAAGCGCAGGAAAGCAGCCTTGGAAATGCACCCGATCTCCCAGAGCACCTTGGTGAGTCCACAGCAGAAGTGCAGAGGGGCAGGCAGGGCCGCCGCCGCCAGCCTGGTCCCTGGGCTGCGCTCGGGCTGAGCCGCCTCGCGTCACCTGTTGCGGAGGCCGTGGAGGTAGCTGATCGGGCAGTCGGCCTTGCCGGAGATGAACTTTTGGGATCGCTTCTCAGTTCCACGGCAGAACGAGCAGATCTGTTACTAATTTTGTCCTTTTCCGTTTTGTTTCTGAAGAAAAAAGCCCTCCCTGGCGCTGGAGTGAAGGCTGCTCCGAGTGTTTTCAGAAAGTTCCTCTAGGAGATGCATTTGGTTAAGCACACTCGCAGCTGCTGCTTTGTGTGAAATCCGTGGTTGTGGCTCACTAAATTGTGAGGGGAAAAAAGAAGTAACTTGTAGCAGCAATCTGCATGACCTTTATATATTGTTAACCTCCATGAACTAAATTACAATTTGGTGTTAAGAACGTTTACAAAGTAAAGTTTATGAGGAAATGAGTTATTTTTAGAGAGACTAGGGTAGTAGAAGCAGTTAGAAGGAAATGTTTTTTTTTAAATAAATGCTTACATATGGGGGAAGTGTGGGTACTAACAGGTGGACGCGCACTTAGATTGCCCTGACATTAAATGAAGAAAGGTAGTTCATTTCTTTGGGCTGACAGGACAGCTGCCTGTCTTGCTCCCAAGAACCGAGCGTCCGGCACGCTTGTCTCCTGTGCAGAAGGAGCTAGATGCAAGTTTTGTCATCTCCTGTGGCAGTAGTTGTCACTGAGCAGTCGCAGGTTCATCCCCTGTGTGGAATCATGGAGACTGACTGACTGCCACCACTGCAGGAAGTTTCCCGGTTAGAGCTAAGGCTGGCTGGCAGGCGGCTCCGCTAACTTTCACTCCCATCTGAGGGCCCAGCAAATCATGCTTAGGGGGGTTGATGGCTGTGCTGAGTTGAAGTACAGTTTGTGGTGAGGCTTCCTGTTTTTTTTTTTTTTTAAGTACTTGAATATTTGTGATACTTCCTTGACATTTTGTTTTTCTTAGCGACACTGGTAGCCTAATTTGTGTATGCTTGTCCCATCCATATATAAAATTAACTCCTTAGTGGTAGGTATTGATGTTATACTCCCTGAGCTCTAAACCAGTGTTTGGCATGTAGCAGGTGCTCATCAAAGATTGATTGGATACGCAATTATTTGCTAGGTGAGAACTTGCAGTAGATGAAGTTTTGGTCATTCTGTAATGGCAGGCGTAACTCCTAGACATTTTGGACTTGGGGAACTAAAAGTTGGTCTGATGAGATTCTGATGCTCGCTTTGAGCAGTTCCTGTCCAGTCATGGAGTTACTGTTCCCAGTGCTGTTTCGCCTTGCTTCCCAGGTGTTTTCCTTCCTTTACCCGATGTGGTATTAACTGGGATGTGTTGCCTTTGGATACACATTACTTCTCAGGATTATGGTAAAAATAGATGCTCCATTGTGGGACCTAAACTTTGAGAATATGTCCGCTTGCCTAGTGAGTGGCACTGCTTGCTGACAGTGAGTTGTCAGGTGCTGGTTTCAGTAGTTTTGTTGTCTGGACTTCCCAGGAGGGAGGCTGTCAGGTCAATGTGTGTATGCATTGGAAAAAAAGAAAACTTTTAGGACTGGTTTAAGACATCCCATGTACACATGAGAAAATGTGGTTGGTGTATTTGAATCCTGTTGTACTGTTAAGGCTAAATGAGGCATATACTTTATTGGTAATTTAGAATATTTTATTAATTTTAGTTTAGAATGTTGGCTTAGCTGCTAACATTAAATCCCTGCTGTAGGCAATAATCTCTTCATCTGTTGAGTACTACGTAGGTAATTCCAGAGGTCTTCAAAAAGTTCATGGAAAATATCTCTAATGAAACCATTTTGGCTTTCAAGATTGTTTTGTGCCTAAATAATTTGTCTTTTAATTCCATTTTCCATGGAGTTTTTGAAGTATCCTTATACAACTGTTGATATAGTCATAGATTTAAAAATGTTTATTCATTGGAGAATATTTTCTTCTTATAGAGAAAAATTTTAAAATAGGGATAACAACTTATTACTAATGCCAAATTGAAATCATTAGGTTTGCTAAAGCTGGAGGCATTTGGATGAATAGAGCTTTGATTTATCTGAATTTTTTAAATGGAGAATTCTTCCAGCTTACAGGTTTTATGACAGACTTTTGTCAGTGCACTGCAAAGGATTTGTATTGGAAATCTGGTCTGAATACGCAGCTGAGAGAGTTCTGACCACTCTTTGAAGTTAAGCATTTGCTTATTTTAAGAAATTAAGTTATGCTTGAAACAGAGTGGTTCTTGCATTTAATTTGTGTGACTTCTGAGAATACTTACCTGGAATTTTGAAATTTGGAACCTCTGATGATTTCAGAAAGCAAAACTTCTGGTGGTATCCTGGGAGAGTGAGTGACTATGTCCTCTAAGGAAGATGACTGTTGGAGTTTGGCCATGAATGGATCTATAGATCACCCGATTAAAGCATTTGTTAAGGGTTTGGCAAGTCTTATTTCCACCAGTGTCAAACACCTTTTCAGAATGAGTGCGATTCCTGATTGCTACAGGTTAGGTACAAAGTGCTGGGGGAGACTGCAAGGCCAGGCAAGGCAAGGCAAGGCAAGATCAGACCCTGTTGAGATGTGTGTGGGCGTGAGCCTGTGTGCTTCCTGCAGGGGCCTTGGATTGGGGGACCGGTAGAGGGAGGGCGGCAGAGGGAGAAGTGTGGGCAGTTGCAAGTAATGAGTTTTGCTGGAGCCTGAGGATGTGAGTAGGAAACAAACTAAAGCTCTGTTGTATGCTGCGTTGGGCAGTACCTGGAGAACCAGGCTGGAGTCATTGTACTTTTCCTCCCTCATTGGTCCAATAAGCATTAGGCCTCAGGCATTTTGTACTTCCCAGCACCCAAGGGGTATGCTGGATTCCCACAAGCACCTCGCATAAGCGTGAACCAAACCAAGTCACAGAAATGCCGTTGAGCCACAGTTATTTCCTTTTCCTGCTATTTGAGAGAATTACCAGGAAGGTGGCCTGAAGCCCTCTTTCTCCCAAACCCATTGCATATCTGTTTAATTTTAGGGGTTGGGATCAGTCAGAAGATGTGGAAATGGTGGGGTATGATTTAGTGAGACTCCTGGGGATTTAGCGTGGCTTCTGTCTGCAGGATGGGTCGGAGGAGAGGGAGATAACTGCTGGGATTGGATGGGTGTTGTACTCCTGGGTGGAAGACCAGTCTAGCAGGTGCATCAGAGTTGCCTTGACATAACCCAAGTGATGTGAGAGGAATGCGTCAGCTGTGCCTCAGCAAGGATGGTAAGGCTTTCAGTAGCGGTGGGGACGCCAAGATTACAAGGAAATTAACGTGCTGTGTTTTCAGATAACAGTACCTGAAGAGGCTAAACAAGAGGATTAAATGCAAGGGAATGAGAGCCAAAGTTACCAAAAACTTGAGCAGCATAGTTTGTGAGTCGTGGAGAGGCGTATCCTAGTATGCAATAATGACCAATCTTGCATATAGTAGTTGTGTCTAGTTCAGCGCCTGTTTGATTCTCACCCATATGCAGATGCAGGCGTGGAGTGCTGTGTTGAGATGGTGTGTGCAGCAGCAGTGGAGATGTTGAGGCCAGGAGCTCTGGTCTCTTCTTTCCAGTCCTCCTCTGCCCTCTCAAGGCTTTGTGCTTTCCCTGTGGACCCTTGGAAATGGAGATGGGGCGGGGGGCAGCCTGGGTGGCACAGAGGGGGCCTCTTCCCACCTTGCTCTCAGCTAGGCTTAAATCCCCCTTCCTATGAGAAGCCTCTGGCACTGACCCTCATTAACCTAATTTTTTCATGCTTTTGGGTCTTTAAAATAATAAGCCTCAAGAGGCAGAATATTCTTAACTTTAAAAAAAAAAAGGCACAATGTATACATGCAGAATATACTTTAAAAGATTAGAGTCTCAGGCTCCTGGCTTCTGCCTGGCATAACCTAGGCTGTTAGGGCCATTTGAGCAATAAACCAGTGAGTTGAAGTTCCCTTTCTCTCTCTCTAACTCTGCCTTTCAAATGAATACATAAATCTTTAAAAAACAAGAAAACCGAAAAGAAACAGATGGAAAACTCAATCCCAGCCACTCCAATGTGAGATGCAAGAGTCCCAAGCATTAGTTTAACCTGCTATGCTGAAGTGCCCACCTCCTTTATTATTTTTAAAAATTTTGTTTATTTGAATGGCAGACAGAGGGAGAGAA